ATATTTCATTCTCTGGAACCGTCTCTCTCTGCGCAAAGCGGTTTAAATGAACGATAATAACTAGAAAATGATACGATAGTAACATAATAACATTTTCTAGAGGTGCCAAGAGATTCCCACCCCTATTAACAACGGCTATAAATATGAGCAAACCGCCACCGAGGAATAACATCGAAAGTAGCTTTGCAACTATCACCACAGTGCACGAGTTGCCAAAACCGCCTTTAACAGCTGAGGAGTCGCCCTCAGAATCCTGCTTTTATTGTGATGAGTCATCAGGAAGGCTTTTAAAATGCAGATGAGATGGTAGTTTAGTGAAATTGGGTTTTAATACAAGGTGAAAAGAATGTTTGGAACTTGTCTCTGGTGAGAGAGAAGCATCTTCATCTTGAAATACAATATTTTTGTCCTCTTTAGTTGTAGATTTGATTAATTTCCTCCAAGTCAGAGGTCACATTTACCCAGAGTTCACTGTGTGTCCTCAATAGAGCAGCAACCAGGAGGCCCATGTGACTCTGGAGGAGCTGCAGAGATCCACAGCTGAGGGGGACAATGTGTCCACAGGACGACTAGCAGCGTCTCCTCCACATATCTGTCCTTTATGGAAGAGAAGAAGAAAGAACTGTTGCAGATATTGCTGTTCAGTATTCACAGTGTGCTGATATTTCTTTGTTCCTGATTTCACACACACACAATAATACACAATGAGGGAGATTGGATTCACATCTGCATTGTGATGGATGCACCACTGTGGTCACACGTCCTTCAGCCTTTAACCCTCATTGCAGGACGAGCATTTTAAAGAAGGAAAAGTTTGTCTTCCTCCAGAGGTCTAAACTTTAGCAGAAGACAACAACACACAAAGTGTCCCATGAGAGTTTTAGTGTTGAGGTGAATGAGCTCTGTGTGTTTGTCCTGATGAAGATAATAATGTGTGAGTTCTTCCAGCAGGTGGTTGTGAAGGTGTGGACTCTGCTATGAATCAGGGTGAGGACCCAGAGGACGAAGTCCGTCCCTCTGAACTCCTCTGTGTGGGGAACATGACATGAGGTGAGAGGACCATCTCCAACTGTCCTCCAGTCTCCTCCATGCCCCAACGTCTTTGACTCACTGACTCTGGTTCTACATGTGTTACCAGGATCCACCAGAGACCAGGACCTGGACCTGAACCCCGCTGTGTGAACATGGAGCGTATACGGTCTACGAGTCCTCCTCTAGACTTCAAAGATGGTCCCTCTGTTGATGCAAGGTGAGGGTCTCAGGCTGATGATGAGGTGTTTCTATCAGACTCTCTGGTGGAGGTTCTGGGTTTCTTGCTCCAGGGCCCTTCAACAGTGTCCATTGAGGGAGGGAGAGAAAGAAAACAGTGAGCTGAAAGACTGAGCTGTTGATTCTCAGTGGGACCAGCAGGACCAGTAGACCTAAACCACTACAGGGAGTCATGTGGTCCACATCCAGACCTCACGTCATGGACCTTTACCTTGTTTTGGTCTCTGTGAGGACGGACACCATGTGAGCTGATGCTTCATGATTAGATGATGACGTGATGATGTAATCTCAGTGTTTCTTTCAGGTCCCATCAGCAGAGAGGAAAGTCTCCTGAACCCACATGTGTGTCCATGAAGAGTGATCGGTCTAATGAGCGATGGATTGATTTCAAAGATGAACGCCGTTCTTATGACCCAGAGTAAGTTCTTAACAAATGAAGAACTGTTCAGATCCTCAGTTATGGATCCCAGAAATAGTTGTGCATTGTTTAACGTGTTGTTTCCATGACGATCCTTCATGACAACTCATTGTCTTCATCTAACTGGTCTGGACTCCATGCAGAGGTTTGGAGAAAGTATCGTCAGCAGACTCTGTGAAAAGGTCCAAAGACTAGTTTCAGAAGGTCTAAGGAGACTCCTAGAGGTCAGGGGACGGACTAAAGATGTTTGGAGTAGTTTCATAGGACTTTGTACCAGATGCAGAGGTCTGGAGACGTTGTTTTTATGACCCACAGTAAGAACTAAAACCAGATGAAACTGATGACTAACTGTCACTCAACTACTGTCTGTCCATCATCGACAGTCTTGAGCATCTGGTTTCCATGGTGATCAATCATGACAGAAGCTAATATCTTTAACTAATGTTGTCTTGATGGTCCAAACACCATGTAGGTTGATGGTTCATGTTCCTCCACAGAGAGGACCAGGAGAGCTCAGAGGTTCCATCTGCCCAGCAGCATCAAACACACCTGGACTCCATCTTCATGGTGTGTACATGAACAATTACTTTTACATCTCTCAGTTCACCATCATCTCCATGGTGCACTTTGTAGACCAGTGGATTGTCCGTCTGTCCGACTTGGACCTGATGGTAGCTTCCATGGTTCTAGTTTGTGTCCTTCATAGAATGTTCTGTTCCAGCTGCTGGAGGAGAACATCCTCACTTTTGTGAAGAACGAGCTGAAGAAGATCCAGAAGATTGTGGGTTCAGATTATCCAGAATGCTCAGAGAAGGAGGTTGGGGAGGTGCTGGATGAAGAGCAGATGAGGAGCAGAGAGGCATTTAAGAAGATCTCAGTGCACTTCCTGAGGAGAATGAAGCAGGAGGAGCTGGCTGACCGTCTGCAGAGCAGTAAGAGGATTTCTCTACAGACTTACCATGCTGATTAATGAGACCTTCACTAATGTCTCAAGAGATGGACAGAATATATTCAGTCATTCCCTGAGGAAAGGACATGTTGAAAATCTATTCTTTGACTCATTGATCTTCTTTGTTCTTCATTCAGGACTTCTTCCTGCAGATTGTCAGCGTGAACTCAAATCCAACCTGAAGAAGAAGTTCCAGTGTGTGTTTGAGGGGGATCGCTTAAAGCAGGAAACCCACCCCTTCTGAATGAGATGTACACAGAGCTCTACATCACAGAGGGAGGGACTGCAGACGTCAATCAAGAACATGAGGTCAGACAGATTGAAACAGCATCCAGAAGACCAGCCCAGACCCAGAAACGACCATCAGACGAGAAGACCTCTTTGAACCCTCAGCTGGAGGAGAGGAACCAATCAGAACCGTGATGACTAAGGGAGTGGCTGGCATTGGGAAAACAGTCTTAACACAGAAGTTCACTCTGGACTGGGCTGAAGACAAAGACCACCAGGACATACAGTTCACATTTCCATTCACCTTCAGAGAGCTGAATGTGCTGAGAGAGAAGAAGTTCAGCTTGGTGGGACTTGTTCATCACTTCTTCAGTGAAACCAGAGCAGCAGGAATCTGCAGGTTTGAGAAGTTCCAGGTTGTGTTCATCTTTGACGGTCTGGATGAGTGTCGACTTCCTCTGGACTTCCACAACAATGAGATCCTGACTGATGTCACAGAGTCGGCCTCAGTGGATGTGCTCCTCACAAACCTCATCGGGGGGAAGCTGCTTCCCTCTGCTCGCCTCTGGATCACCACACGACCTGCAGCAGCCAATCAGATCCCTCCTGAGTGTGTTGGCATGGTGACAGAGGTCAGAGGGTTCACCGACCCCCAGAAGGAGAAGTACTTCAGGAAGAGGTTCAGAGATAAGAAGCAGGCCAGCAGGATCATCTCTCACATCAAGACCTCACGAAGCCTCCACATCATGTGCCACATCCCAGTCTTCTGCTGGATCACTGCGACAGTTCTGGAGGAGATGAAGACCAGAGATGGAGGAGAGCTGCCCAAGACCCTGACTGAGATGTACATCCACTTCCTGGTGGTTCAGTCCAAAGTGAAGAAGGTCAAGTACGATGGAGGAGCTGAGACGGATCCACACTGGAGTCCAGAGAGCAGGAAGATGATCGAGTCTCTGGGAAAACTGGCCTTTGATCAGCTGCAGAAAGGCAACCTGATCTTCTATGAATCCGACCTGACAGAGTGTGGCATCGATATCAGAGCAGCCTCGGTGTACTCAGGAGTGTTCACTCAGATCTTTAGAGAGGAGAGAGGACTGTACCAGGACAAGGTGTTCTGCTTCGTCCATCTGAGTGTTCAGGAGTTTCTGGCTGCTCTTCATGTCCATCTGACCTTCTTCAGCTCTGGTGTCAATCTGCTGTCAGAAGAACAAACAACATCCCTGGTGTCTAAAGGCTTTAAACCCAATCCTGAACCAAAGCGTCTCTACCAGAGTGCTGTGGACGAGGCCTTACAGAGTCCTAATGGACACCTGGACTTGTTCCTCCGTTTCCTCCTGGGTCTTTCCCTGGAGACCAATCAGACTCTCCTGCGAGGTCTGCTTACACAGACAGGAAGTCTCTCACAGACCAATCAGAGAACAGTCCAGTACATCAAGGAGAAGATCAGTGAGAATGTGTCTCCAGAGAAAAGCATCAATCTGTTCCACTGTCTGAATGAACTGAATGATGGTTCCCTAGTGGAGGAGATCCAACAGTCCCTTAGATCAGGACGTCTCTCCACAGATAAACTGTCTCCTGCTCAGTGGTCAGCTCTGGTCTTCATCTTACTGTCATCAGGAGAAGATCTGGAGGTGTTTGACCTGAAGAAATACTCTGCTTCAGAGGAGGCTCTTCTGAGGCTGCTGCCAGTGGTCAAAGCCTCCAACAAAGTTCTGTAAGTACAGAGAGTTAGATTCATACATCATGCTTTTAATATGCTGTGATCTCTTCTACTTATTGTTCATATTTTCTTCATTGTTGTTTCTTCAGACTGAGTGACTGTAACCTCTCAGAGAGAAGCTGTGAAGCTCTGTCCTCAGTCCTCAGCTCCCAGTCCTCTAGTCTGAGAGAACTGGATCTGAGCTACAACGGCCTGCAGGACTCAGGAGTGAAGCTCTTGTCTGCAGCACTGGAGAGTCCACACTGTGATCTGGAGACTCTCAGGTCAGGATTCAATTAAAGTCCACTTGGTTTCTTTATTTACATCAGTGGGACATTTCTGACTTTCATGAGATTCGTTCTGCTTGCATGAATTAAAAAAAGTTTATTTTCATTATAATGTTTCAAATTGAAATATTGGAGACCAATCATAGATTTATCAGTAATCTTATCATATTGTTGATGTACATTAGTGGGCGTGTAACCATGTTAATATGACCCCTCAGTAGCCAACAATATCTCAAGGTTGGTGGTTCGAGCCCCGGCTGCTCCATGTCCTATGTTGAAGTGTCCCCGAGCAAGACACCTAGCCCCTAATTGCTCCCCGGGTTAAAATGTAAAAGCCATGGATTATAAATGCAATGTAAGTCGCTTTGGATAAAAGCGTCAGCTAAATGACCTGTAATGTAATTTACATCAGTGGGACATTTCTGACTTTCATGAGATTCCTTCTGCTTGGATGATTTAAATCAAAGTTTATTTTCATTATAATGTTACAAATAGAAATATTGAAGACCAAAACTGAGTTATCAGTGGAGTGTTGGTGTACATTAGTGGGTGCGTAACCATGTTAATGTGACCCCTCAGTAGCCAACAATAACTCAGTCCTGCAGTGACCTTCTAGTCCTCACAGCTCCCTCAGATCATGTGACACGTGTGTTGTTTTGTGTGTCTGCAGGCTGTCAGGCTGTCTGATCACAGAGGAAGGCTTTTCTTCTCTGGCCTCAGCTCTGAGCTCCAACCCCTCCCATCTGAGAGAGCTGGACCTGAGCTACAATCATCCAGGAGACTCAGGAGTGAAGCTGCTGTCTGCTGGACTGGAGGATCCACACTGGAGACTGGAGACTCTCAGGTATGAAGAGGCTGCAGCCACAGACTTTAGTCTGGTAGAGGAGGTAGAACTGGAAGCCTTTTCTCTGTCCCACTGCCAGCCTGGTTAATAAGACACTGACACACCAAGCTGACCTCAAACTACCAGAGACTCATCAAACTGTCCCACATGAGACCATCAATAAGACAGAAGTAGTGAGGAACAGTAGCCAGGATGAGCCTGAACAGGGAGGAAGGTGATGAAAGGCTTGTTTCTCTAGAGCCTTGTCTTGTCTCCACGTTCTAAGAGAGGACAGTGTCTCCTGACACGTTGACTGCATCATGGGGGGTTGATATGAGTCAACATCAACAAGCTGCAGGTTTGTGGGCTCTTATCAAACAACACTTGGATGTTTAGATGCTGGTCATCTGCCTCCAGTGTTGTCCTTTAGTCCAGACATTATCCTTAAGAGAGAAAGAAACAATCTGTTCAAAGCGTCTTGATGGATCATCACAGGAGGAATGTTTGGTGTTTTAAAGGAGTTCAGCTTCACCTGGTTTTGGTGCTTTGCACTGAGAGCCAGTTCCAGAACCAACAGCTGATGGTGGACCTGGTGTGTCAGAGCCCAAAGAGGTTTGTTTAGGACTGGACCAAAGTTCTAGGGAGACTCAGGCAGTACTCTGTGGCTGTAGACCCACCTGAGCTGTAACACCTGTAACACAGCTAAAAGAGAGATTAGTGGACTTCCATCCATCAGGTGACACAAAGACGCCTGATGAACCATCATGTTGATGTGAACCTGCTGGATGTGGAAGCAGCTGCTTGATCTCATGTTAGAGAACTACTCTAGAACAGTGGTCCCCAACCTTTTTTACCTCACGGACCGTTTTCATGTCAGACAATATTTCGCGGACCGGTCTAGAAGGTCCGACGGGTGGTGGTGTAGTCGTTGCGGGAGGAACGACCGACGGGGGGGGGGGTAGTAGTCGCGCGCTCTGTGTTTGCTGGTCGGCAAAACTGCCGTGCACGGTGAAAGGACAAGAAAAACGCCTGGTGATGCGTGGGGAATATACGAGCGCACATAATTAGGAGAAAATCCGGTCAATTTTTAAAATAAAACATTTTCCCAAAAAAAAAAATATGTAGGCTTTCTGTGG